GTATTGAAAAGAAAAAGTCTTTAATAAACCTTAAATAGGTTTTTTTCTTTGTTTTGTTTTGTTGAATAAAATAAAGAAAAATATTGATAAATGTACAGCAAATGATAAATAGTCAAATGAAAAATGGAAAAGTTTAAAAATGGCAATGAATTGAATAGAAATAATATAAAAAAAAAATATATAAAATACAATATTGAAATATTTAGAAAAATTTTACATTTCTATTGTTTGAACATTTCGATTTTTAGGATGTAAAGGCTTTGCAACATTTGTTTTTCTTTCATGTTTTGGTTGAGCGTTCTGTGTAATATTATTTCCCTCAACAACATTCTCATCAACACCATCCATTTCGGTGTCATCAATGTCAACAGAAATTGGAAAATAGATCAAAGCTTCCTGATCTTCTTCTTCCTCATCACTGCTTAGGAAAGCATCGATTTTAGGCGGCTGCTCAACATCAACTTCAATTTCTTCATCTTCTAAAGAAGAAACTTCTGCTCTTGTTATTGATCTATCATCATCTTCATCATCAAATTCAGATTCTCTTTCTTCATATTCAATATTTTCTTCTAATTCTTTAAAATCTGGAGCAAATGCTGACCAATTTTCAACCTGAGTCGAAGACCATATTGACAAAATGCCTGATGCTATAGAAACAATAACTGGCCTTACAGGATGCCAAACAACATCGCTCAATGTTTCGCCTTTTGTTCCAACAAGAATTTTCAATAAAGAACCAACGTTTCTTTCCCAAACATAGAGAGAATGATTTTTTGCAGAAACTGCACATATATAATCCGAATCCTGTCCTCCACTGAAGCAGCACTTTTTCCAGGTAGTTCTGTTTACCAAATCCATCAATCTTTGAATAGGTTCCGGCTCAGAAAGAGTTAAGTTAGAGGTTTGAGAATCACTGCCACTTTCAGAGCCATTTCGGCCATGATTGAGAACATCTTTGAAATCATATACTCGAATAGTTCTATCGGCAGAGTTAACAAGAAAAACATTTTTATTACGAGGCGCAAATTCTATTTGTTTGATTGCAGCATGAGATACACGGAAAGAGGTGACAACTTCAATATCAATCGTTCCAGGCTTCACCCGAACAACTTGAATTCGACCTTTTGTATTTCCAGAAAATATATACTCTCCTCGTCGATCAAAAGTTGATAGAATATCAAACTCTGAGTCTTCATCATGAGGAATTATTGTGTGCGAACGTTCAACTTCTGAATGATAAAAAAAAGAATCATTAATGTGAAGGAAGCTTCATA